TGTCTTATAACTCCATTTTATAAGTTTTGTGAGGTTTTGATTTTTTGAATTTGGAGATGTTTTGGAGGATTTAAGAAGATGAAAAAGATAGGGTTTAATTGGGTTGTCGCGGCAGTTACGAGCACGTACGGTGGCGTTCGGCGGCGGCGGCGTCGGCGGCGGCGGCGGCGGTCAGGGTTGGAGAGGAGAAGAAATGGTGGAGGTTTTTTTTTTTAACAACAAAGGGTTTTTTTCTTTTTTTTTTATTTGGTTTTTGAATAGGTAATTTCTAATAAAATTTGATATAATTGATATTTTGTATGAAAGGGTGTTTTTGTAATTTTCTTTTTATTTTGGTTTTAAAGTAAGAAAAAACTTATAAATATGTACTCAATTGTGGTTTTCAACTAGGTAGTATTCAACTAAGCAAAAATTAGTATTCAAAATAGTTGCCCCCTTAACAAAAATATTATGAGCTTTTTTTTCGACTTAAATTTTTTTTTTTGAGTATTTATAAAAGTAACTTTTATTTTTTATCATCACAATATCACATATATGAATCAATATCCTTTGATTTAAAAAAAAAAAATTTAATAATTAAAATTGCATTCGAAATTTTGTTAGGATAACAAACCTCACTTTTATTTAAGTAAACAATCTTATTTAAATAAAGTTTATTAATTTTCAATCATTTATGAGAATTTGGAAAGGATGTTTAATGGTTTTTTTTAAATTAATTAATTGTAGGGCGAATGGCAAAAAGACCCATCACATGAGACTTAAATGCATTTTGGTCAAAAAAAAAAACAGTCTCTCAATTAAACCTATCCCCATGTCTTTAGTCTAAAATACCCTCCATAATATAATTCTTATCAATTCCACCCATTATGCTCTAACTTTCTTAATATTACACATTGACCCCGGATTTAAACAAATATATCACATTAACCTCCAATTTTTTTTTTTTTTTTTTTTCAGAAAATAATTTTTTTTCTGAAATATTTTTTTTCCGGCCAGATTCCGGCGTTGACTTTTTTTTTTTTTTTTTTTAAACTTTTTTTTTTCCTGAATTTTTTTTCCGGCCGGTCAACCACCGTTGACCGTCGGTCTCCGGCGTTGACTTTTTTCTTTTTTTTGAATTTTTTTTTCTTAGAAAAAAAATATTTTAATTAATATTACTATCTTGACTACTAAATTACTGTCTCAGACAGTAATATTACTGTTTGGGACAGTAATATTATGAACATTATTTTCCCGCACATTAATATTATTAATATTATTGTCTAAGACAGTTAAATTACTGTTGGAGACAGTAATTTAGCAGCAAAGGCATTAATATTAATTAAAATAATTTTTTTTAAGAAAAAATTAAAAATAAAATAAAATTAATTAATAGTTAAATTACTGTCTCCGACAGTTAAATAACTGCTGGAGACAGTAATTTAGCAACGAATACAGTAATATTAATTAAAAAATATTTTTTTTAAGAATAAAAAAAGTCAATTAACAGTTGAATTACTGTCTCCGACAGTTAAATAACTGCTGGAGACAGTAATTTAGCAACGAATACAGTAATATTAATTAAAATATTTTAAAAAAAATCAATTAACAGTTAAATTACTGTCTCCGACAGTTAAATAACTGCTGAAGACAGTAATTTAGTAGCAAAGACAATAATATTAATTAAAATATTTTTGAAGAAAAAAAAAAGTTAATTTACAGTTAAATTACTGTCTCCGACAGTTAAATAACTGCCGGAGACAGTAATTTAGCAGCCATGACAGTAATTTTAATTAAAATATTTTTTTTAAGAAAAAACAAAATTATTAAAAAAAAAAGTCAACGCCGGAGACCGCGGTCAACGGCAGTAGACCGACCGGAAAAAAAATTCTGGGGAAAAAAAGTTTTTCAAAAAAAAAAAAAAAAAGAGTCAATGCCGGAGACCGGCGGTCAACGGCGGTCTCCGGTGGTGGCGGGTCAAAATTGGGGTCAAAATTGAAATTAGGGTTAAAATTGGTTAATTGATGAAATTTGGGTAAATTGGGGTGTAAATCATGAAATTGGAGTTGAATTGGGTTTCAATGAATTGGGGGTAATTTTGGTATATATAAAGGGATTTTCCTTATTTACAAATAAATTTGAATGAGCTGGATTTATTTGAAAGACAAAAAAGTTGGATGTCCCTCTTTTAATTAAATGCCCTTGTCATGGGCCTATTTGCCATTTACCCTTTAATTGTATGGAAATATTCTAATATTATCCGAAATGATGTGTTGATTTAGATATATAACACACAAAAGATCATTCTAAAAACTTATCGATCGAGAAAGATTGTAGCACAATATTTAAGTGATTTGTTTTGATTAGAGTAAGCAGAGAATAATTTTTGTAGCTATTGTTTAGTCTTATGAGCTAGTATATTCAGCATGTCTTAAACAAGATATGGTGAGATCTGTTTCATTTTTGTTTTATATGAAACTATATTATTTCTTGTTATCAACAACTTATTTATTTTCATAATTCCTTGATATTTAACGTACACATTTAATTATCGTGCTCTTTTTGGATTTCAAAATGTGAGAGATTCCAATATAGAGTCAATTGAACCCTTGCTTGTTGGGTGAAGAACTTAATAATTTGGTGGAAATTATTTATCGAAATAAGTCTACATCTTCGAATGAGATTGATAAATAACCTTGAATACTTTATGAGTTATGTTTATGCCTAAAATTTGGTCAAGTGAATTTTATATATGAAATACTTAAATAAGTTAGTGAACTATATATACGAGATACTTAAATAAGTTAAGCGGATAAGACTCGAGAAAATATATACGAATAAATTATTTTGTGGTTATTGGATTATCTTAATATGGAGAAAATTGAAAAAATAACTAACCAAAGCTCAAATGTAATGTTTGAGAATCTAGACGGAGTGCAATAATTATTTTGTGTTTAATTAATTGTTGGAAGCTCGATCTATATTTTGTCATTTGTTCTTTATTGTAGTCCGATGGATTATTTAATTACTCGAGAAAATAAAATTCAAACAATTGTAATAGAAGTAAGAGAGGGACGGAAATTTGGAGCCTATGGACTTCCAATTTTCGTCCACTATG